GACTGCAAGGAGATGCAACCAGTCTATCCAAAAGGATCAGTCCTGACTATTCATTGGAAGTACTGATGCTGAAGCTGAAACTCCAATACTTTGCCCACCTGATGAAAAGAACTGACTCATTTGAAAAGACCCTGATGCTGGGAAGGATTGAGGGCAGGAGGGGAAGAGGAAAGAGGATGAAATGGTTGGATGGCATCACCAACTCAATGGACATGAGTTTGAGTAAACCCCAGGAGTTGGTGATGGACAGGGAAGCCAAGCCTGGCATGCTGCAATCCACAGGGTCGCAAAGAGTCAGACACAACTGAGCAACTGGAGTGAACTACACTGATGGGGGTAGAAGTTCAAAGTCACTATTTCCCATATGGATAACCAACTGTCTCAGAATCATCTACTGAAAAATTCATTCTTTTCCCCACTTATTTGCAATATCACCTTTCTCTTATTAAATGGTCTAATATGTAAGGGTCAGCATCTGGGCTCTCTTTTCTGTTCCATTGGCCTATCCTTGTGCCAATATCACATCTTAATTACTGTAGCTTTCTATTTTATACTTTAAGAATGCTTTGACTATTCTTGAGCCTTTACACTTCCATATAAATTCTGGAATCAGCTTATCAAATTCCATACAAAATTCTGTTGGGATTTCTATTTGACTGATTTGAATATATAGGAAGATTGAGGGAAAACAAATGCCTTTATAATACTGGATCTTTTAATTCATGACTATAATAAAAAATCTCATTTTTAAAATCTATTGTTCTTTAATGCCTCATTGAAAATAATGCTTCAGAATTTTTCTCTTAAGTCTCCCATATCTCATTAGATCTATACTCAAATGCTTCATATACTTCTTTGCTATTACAATTGATGACATTTCGCTATCTCCAGCTTCTAATTCTCCATTGTTGATATACAGATGCCACCCCTTGGTGGCTCAGATTCTTGGTAAAGAATCTGCCTGCAATGCAGGAGACCCAGGTTCAATCCCTGGGTCGGAAAGATCCCCTGGACAAGGAAATGGCTACCCACTCCAGTACTCTTGCCTGGGAGTCCCAGGGACAGAGGAGCCTGGCAGGCTACAGTTCATATGCAAATTCAAATTTGATTTTGTATCAAGCCACCGCTAAACTCTGTTATTTGTAACTCATCTGTAAATTCTCTTGGATATCTCTGAATATAGTCATAGCTACAAACAAAAGACAGTTGTCTCTCCCTTTCATCTTATATCTTTGTTTCTACCTGTCTGCCTTACTGCCTTGCTGCTTAAGACTTCAAGCACAATATTTAATGGAAACAATGACAACAGGCATCCCTGTCATGTTTCCCTATCTCAAAAGGAAAGTTCTCAACTTTTCAATATTAAGTATGATGTCTCCTGTATAGTTTTTTTAGGCATTCCATCTGGTTAAAAAAGGTCCTTTCTTGGTCAGGTAGACAAGACGTTACATCATGAACGAATGATCTATTAAGATGATAACATAATTTTTTCTCTTTAGTCACTTAACATGGTTGACTATATAAACTGATTTTAACATTAAATCAATCTTACATTCCTGGGATAACTTAGTTATGGTATAATCCTAAATTAGTTCTGGTATTTTAAGATATGCATCTGTAACGTATGTGCAGGGCAGGAATCAGGAATAGAAACTCAGACATACAGAACAGTCTTATGGACACAGTGGAGGAAGGAGAGGGTGGGACGAGTTGAGGGTAACACTGAGATATATACATTCAATTCAGTTCAGTCACTCAGTCATGTCCGACTCTTTGCGACCCCATGGACTGCAGCACGCCAGGCTTCCCTGTCCATCACCAACTTCCGGAGTTTACTTAAACTCATGTCCATTGAGTCGGTGATGCCATCCAACCATCTCATCCTCTGTTGTCCCCTTCTCCTCCTGCCTTCAACCTTTCCCAGCATCAGGGTCTTTTCAAATGAGTCAACTCTTCACATCAGGTGGCCAAAGTATTGGAGTTTCAGCTTCAGCATCAGTCCTTCCAATGAACATTCTGTTTCCTTTAGGATATACACTACCACGTGCAAAATAGCTAGCTAATGGGAAGTTGCTGTGTATCACAGGGAGTTCAGTCTAGTGTTTTGTGACAAACCAGAGGGTGTCAGATGGGGTGAGAGGTAGGAGGGAGGTTCAAGAGGGAGGGGACAAACGTGTACCTATGGCTGATTCATGTTGTTGTATGGTATAAACCAACCAACACTGTAAAGCAATTATCCTCCAATTAAAAAAAGTTTAAAAAAAGAAAAACAATTTAAAAAATCTGCATTTGTGTTATATGTCATATAATTAACTGTCCTTGTCAGGATTTATCTTCAAGGTGGTACTTTCTGTTGTTTTTTATAGTCACTAAGTCATGTCCGACTCTTTTGTAATCCCCATGGGCTACAACCTGCTAGGCTCTTCTGTCCATGGGATTTCCCAGGCAAGAATACTGGAGTGAACTGCCATTTCTTTCTCCAGGGGATCTATGGTACTAGTCTCTTTCATTAAACGAGCTAGGATTTTTTCTTCATTCTCAATTCCCTGGAAGATCAGGAATAGCTGCTGTTCAATGCCGAAGTTATTTCTTTTACGATTTTTGATAGAATGCAGTAGTGATTATTTAGGCTGTATGGAAAGGTTTTTCACTACATATTTAACTTATATAATTTATACATGTTATAAGATTACTGAGGTTTTCCATTTCTATTCAAGTCTATTTTAGGGAGTTATATATTTTAAGAATTTGTCTACTTAAAACTATCTTTACATTCAAAGCATAGTTATCCATACTATTTTTATGTTTTACTGCCTGCCACATCTACAATGATATCCTCTCTTTTCATTATTGATATTGATTTTCTATGTTCTTTTCTTTCTTAATATCACAAGTATGTCAAAGAACAAACTTTTGGATTTGTTGTATATTTGTTTTCTGTTTCATTCTTTTTTTGTTCTTATCATTATCTTCATTACTTCTTTTTTTTTAACATTCTTTGGGTTATTTTGCTATTCTTTTGCTAACCTCCCAAGAGAAACATTTACTTCATTTATTTCCTGCCTTTCTTTTTTCTAAGGTAAGCATTTAAGGGCATGTATTTGCTATAAGATATCATATTGCTTTAGCTTACCTTACAAATTTTGATGTGTAACATTTCTATCTTTCAGTCCAAAATATTTTGCAATTACTATTGTGATTGCTGCTTCTACTGGCAGGATAAATAAAAATGTGTATCTTAATTTTGAAAGGTTTTAAAAAACTTTTAAAAGCTAATTGTTTTGTGGCTTGATAACTTGATTTTCCAGGTGGTGCTAGTGGTAAAGAATCCACCTGCCAATGCAGGAGACACAAGAGAGGTGGGTTTGATCCCTGGGTCCACAAGATCCCCTAGAGGAGGAAATGGCACCCTACTCCAGTATTCCTGACTGCAAAATTCCATGAGAAGAGCCTGGAGGGCTACAGTCTGTGGGGCCACAAAGTGCTGGACATGAGAAAAAAGCGCACACACAAACAAAACTTGACTTCAGTTCTCTGAAATCTGTTCATACTTTATGACACCAAACATGGTAGAAAATTTTTTTTTTGTTTAAATAAATGTTTCATATACATTTGAAAGTTGCTATTTTCAAAGTGATTAGATACACAGCTCTATAAAAGCATTAGGTGAAATTTGTTAAATGTGTTGTTCCAATCTTCCAAACATCCTTGCAGATATTTCTTTCCTCTACTTTTATCAATTACTGAGAGATATATATTAAAATCTCCCATTGCTGTGATAGATTTAACATTTCTACTTGTAGTTCTGTCAGTTTTTGCTTTATACTTTATTAAATGGTAGAACAGGTTTTTAAAAATGAATCTCTTTTCTTTCTGCTCACTTTAAATACCAAGACCAAAATCAGTTTATATATATTTTAATGGTCACTAAATCTGCTTCTTACCTTCAAATTTACCTATTTCATAGCAGAGACTGAACTTACTAAAACATCTTAAAAGGCAAATACCTTGGTCTTTTATTTCCAAGAGAAAAACAATCAGAAATTTATTACCAGGGGCATCATGCATACACATCCGAGCATGTGCTGGCTAACTCAAAAGGGGTGGTTAGAACTTGAGCTTATATGCATCTTAACAAAATAACAATAACTTTTTAGAGAAGTGAGAAGACAAAGGAAAAGGACTTTGAGTTTCTAGAGCAGCAAATGGGGGAACTAATGGAAGATAAGGGTTAGTAAAGGTTTGCTTCCCTGGTGGTGCTAGTGGTAAAGAACCTGCCTGCCAATGCAGGAGACATGAGATGCAGGTTCAGTCCCTGGGTCAGGAAGATCCTCTGGAGGAAAAAATGGCAACAAACTCCAGTATCTTTGCCTGGCGAATCCCAAGGACAGAGGAGTCTAGCAGGCTACAGTCCACAGGGTTGCACAAAGTAGGACATGACTGAAGCAACTGAGCACACAGCACGATAGAGGTTTGCTACGTAGATCTCTCTGGTGCCCATCTCTGGGCTGATTATGGTCTAGAATTGTCTCTGGTGATTAATTTCTGTCCTCCTGGTAGAGAAGGGAAGGGGGATGCCTTGGTGAGTCATTTTGAAAGCTAACTTATATTCTAAGCTACAGTTTTCTATTACTATCAGCTTAAAAAGGAAGATACTAAAGTTCTCAATTGTTATTGTTTAAACACCTCATCCATTAAAAAAGGAAAAAAAGGCTTATCAATAGGTACCAAGCTCTCAAAGGACTCACCAATTCTTACTATTATTACCTAATGTATTCTAGGCATTTTCAAACACTAATGTAATCTCCACAACAGACATACAAAGTGGTTGTTATTATTATCTCTATAGTTTTTACAGAAGCAATAAATAACAGAAACCTGAGGACTAAGGCTAATCAATACCAAATGGCAAACAAATATTGTTGTCAAAGGGTTGTTTTCACCAAAATGAGTATCTCAGTGCGAAAGCCCCACTGGCAAGAATGGTTTCATTTAAGTACCTTGTATTTCTGCCTCAGTTCTTCCGTGTCTTCTTTTTCTACTTCTAGGACACGGCGCCGTTCGGTAGCATCTTCAGCATAATCAAGCTTAACAAAAGTAGGTACAATTAGTCTTAATTGCCACAGTACTCCCATCTAGCCATAAAAAAGTCATTTATACAACTACAGTACTATATGCAAATAAAAAACTGCAATTTGCTCAACTACCTCTTGCTTTATTGTCACACCACAGAGAAAAAACATGCAAAATAGTTCATTAATCCTTTCATGCTGGTGGTTATCAACAGGCATAGTTGATAATAACAGACTTTACTTCAACGTTCAATGCCAAAGACTTAGCAGTAAATGGAGCATATTTCAAGCAATGAAAAGAAGGTATCACAGATGAGAGCAGTACACAGCTCTATTGTTGTTCAATCACTAAGCATTGTCCAACTCTTTGCAACCCCAAGAACTGCAGCAAGCCAGGCTTTCTTGTCCTTCCCTATCTCCCAGAGTTTGCTCAAACTCATGTCCACTGAGTTGATGATGTCATCCAACCATCCCACCCTCTGTCGCCCTCTTCTCCCTTTGCCCTCAATCTTTCTCAGCATCAGGGTCTTTTCCAATGAGTCGGCTCTTCACATCAGATGGCCAAAGTACTGGAGCTTCAGCATCAGTCCTTCCAATGAATATTCAGGGTTGATATCCTTTAGGATTGGTTGGTTTGATCTCTGTGCTGTTCAAGGGACTCTCAAGAGTCCAGCACCACAGTTGGAAAGCATCAATTCTTCAGCGTGCAGCCTTCTTCATGGTCCAGCTCACATCTTTACATGACTACAGGAAAAACTATAACTTTGACTACATGCACCTTTGTTGGCAAAGTGATGTCTCTTCTTTTTAATATGCTGTTTAGGTTTGTCATAGCTTTCCTTTCAAGGAGCAAGCTTCTCTTAACTTCATGGCTGCTGTCACCGCCCACTGAAAATAAAATCTGCCACTGTTTCCATTTTTTCCCCATCTATTTGCCATGAAGTGATGGGACCAGATGCCATGATCTTAAGTTTTTTGACTGTGAGTTTTAAGCCAGCTTTTTCCCTCTCCTCTTTCACCTTCATCAAAAGGCTCTTTAGTTCCTCTTCCATTCTGCCACTAGAGTGGTATCATCTGCGTATCTGAGGTTGTTGACACAGCTCTGTAGGGACAAAGCTTCTACCACAACAAATATTTTAAGATTTGAGCTACAGAGCCTACTGAAATGAGCATAAGGGCCTGGGTTTAAGTCTGATCTTGTCCTGTGGCATAATGCTGGGGCAATCACTCACTTCTTTATAAGAGGGGCATTATTTGCCACCTACCTACCTCAAAGACAGCACTACATGAGAATATAAAATAAATCTTAATTTTCCCTCAAAAATATTAATATTGCACCTGAATTTTGGAATTAGTATCCATTTTAAATACCCCATAAAACAAGTCAACCAATGAGATCAATTTACCTCCATTTCCATGCGACCCATGCCCATGACATCATACTTGACGACGATTGGAATGGGATCTGTTCTCCCTGTAACAGGAACATATAATCAAGGTGAGATGTAAGGCTAAGCCAACATTTCACTTTACACATTGGGTTTGGGTGGTTAGAGATCTTGCCTTGGAGTGCAGAGACCAGAAAGCTACAGTGAACCAAACACAAGCCATTCTCACAGCTTACAACCAAACCTACCTCTCCAGTTTAAGCCCAACTAAGAATCTTGGCTGACCTTCCAGTGGGGGATGATTCCAGATTACTAAAGCAAAATTAAATAAGTAATGCAAAGCATTTCTACGCAACGGCACCAGGAAATTTAAAATAAAAAACACCTGAAATTCCTTTTTAAAAAGACTCCCAAATAACTTTCCATCAAGAATCCCTTCACGCTTACTGTTCACTGACATTTTCCCACACACACTTTTAAAACTGGTAATAAATATGTCAACTGACATGTTTAAATCGGAAGAGGATAGTTTCAAATATGACACAGGAAAATTCAATAACTGCAACTCAGCGTGTTTAATATTTCTTTGTATTCAAAAGATGCTTTACAATTAAATGAAGGGGTGAAAATAATTAAAAGGAATGCAACAGTTAGTTGCCCTGAGGAAAAAATAGTTTTACTTTTAAACTGGTGCTCTAAGGTCCCATTTTTCCAGAGTGGATTTAACACTGACTGCGCAATCAGTAAGCTGTGAAAAGGACTAGTTGCGAAGAAAATTGACTTTCAACTAATTGATCTATGCTGGAGATTTTTTAAAATGTATATTTAATCCACTCATAACCAGCCAAACAAAGCAAAATGGGGCAGACAAGCACTTTACTACCACAGCTGTTTTACATCACAACTTGCGCTGTTTATTGTGATGTAAGCCCACTGAAAAGAGGACTTACCTTATCCGTTGCATACCTTTAGTGAAAAAACACAATGTTTACTTCCCTCATCATTTCACTCAGGCTGGTGTAAACAATTGTTTTTTTATTTTTGGTTTTTTTTTGGGTTATACACACATATATATTATACCTTTGGGCTAAAAGTTGAGTTTTGTCAGGCTAAATCTGAGATATTAGCAAAACTGAATTTGGGGGGTAAAAAAAAAAAGCAGTAAATGCCACACCCATGACTAGGATTAGTCCCAGAGGGAAAAAAAACTGTTTCCAAAGTGACCAGCAACCACTTGAATCCAGTTGCTCTGTATTTGTGGGATTGATTTTTGTTTCAAAAAGAAATGAAGAACAAATTCAGAAGTTTAATTACTTATCACCAATCTCCTATTATTGCTTTTAAACAATAAGCAGCTAATCGAGAATTATCACATAAAAAAAATTTAACTAAATAAAGAACATCTCACACGAGAAAAGAGAACAAAGTTGTAAACAGTCTTATTTCAGATACTATCGAAAACTGCCAGTTAAACAAAATAAAAATGCACTACTACCTTATTGCCCAATGGTATAATAAATAAGCAGTGACTGCAATCTTTAGCAAAAGGACCAAATTAAGACAGGTTATAAAAATGACTTCCTAGGTGCAATATCACTTTCATAACGTCTCAATCAGGGATTTACTGGTAAAAACAAACAGTCCAATGAAAGAATTGAAAAGAAATGTCAAAGTTATTTTTTTGTTTTGATATATTTTTTGATCTGTCAGAATTTGCTTTAAGAATCAAGAAAATTTTGGTAGAAATTCATTACCTCTGTAAACCCCTGTTATAAACTCTGCATTAGTACTTTTGCCTTCTAAGGCAGTCAAAGTTTGTTTTAATTTATTTATAAATTGCAGTAGCAAGTGCTAGTGCCCATTATATTGTGGGGAAATCAAGTTTTTACAGTATCAGAATTTAATGTTTTAACTGATTTTTTTTTTTTTTTGGCAATTCTAACACAAACAGATACATCCCTTCTTAACATTACCCTTTAATGAACAAGGATCAGACAAGTTGCATAAGGAAAGGAAAGGAAAATGAAAAAGACCAAGCAGAAGGATGAAGGCTACAACAGAGAAAGTAAGCCTAACATATTGGTGCACTGATGACAAAGGAGTAATTCAGTCTGAAAATAAAAAATTACCACTGCTAAGTTTACCATCACCACAACAAGTCCAGGATCATAATGCTGTAAAAAAGAAACACCATTTGTTAGGCAGAAACCATTAGGGTAGGAAACAGGCCTTCTAGCAGGCAGACAGGATGGGGTAAAGTAACAAATTGGGCTTTGTCCCTCCCCCAATTTCAGCTGGGGACGCAAGAAGGACACTTTGTGCTACCGCAATTTTCAAACCTGTTGAATCAGGGTATGAGATTTTTGTACTGCTACTTGAGAACATGAACAACCTCTTCTACAACAATGCAGGGGTTGGGGGGAAGGTGGGAGAAAGTGAGAGAACTATCTCTCGCTTCCAATCTCTCATTTAACTACTCATTCTGTTAAATCAATACTCAAGGCCCAAGGTGGGACTTGATCCTTAAGGAAATAACATCAAAAACAGATCATCAAGTGATTATCAAGTCATTGGCTGCACTAAAAGAACTCTAAGAGGACTGTCTCGTGGAGGGGATCATCAAGACCTCACTATAATAAATAAAAGGTCTGGAAAATAACCTTAGATTTTCAGTGCTTGGAAAACATGCACATTTGAGTTCTGTTATGAATGAATAAAACTTCTGAGGTAGACTTCCTTAGAACTAAGTTTCCTTTTAATGAACTCTTCCCAAGCCCACCAACATCTTTCTGCACACAATAAAGCCAAACTTTGAAAAACACCAGGAACTCCAGAGAAATTGACATCGAAAGGCCTGTCACATTTACAATTAGTCCACTCAGAGAAAAGTCTGGCTTTAAAAACAATCTGAAGGTAACATTGCTGCTTCTGCCAAGTAGTAATTTTTTTTTCATTAGAGGTTCCAGACCAAGGAAAAATCCCACTGGGAAAAGATACTGAAGAATACATACATGAAGAGGCTGCAGTATTAAAAAACAAAAAACCCCTCATTTATTCATTTGTGACCAATGATAAATCCTATCATAAAGAACACTACTGTGGAATACCTGAGTAACAACCTATACTGGTGACTTTCAATGGTAAAGAGCAGAAGAATGTTTGCTAATTTAATAATCCCCTAGAAAACTCAACTTCTTTTTTAATACAAATTGAACTAAATCCGGTTTCTCTTATTTCTTGGTTTCTCTTAACAGGGACAAGTATTTCTTAAAATACATTAAAATAAGAACATTTTGTTGTTTATTTCATTTCAAAGGAAGCAACTTCAACCAGAACACTAAATACTTTCCTTAGAAGAAACTGTCCTCTTCAGCCAAAGATCTATATATAGATACTCTGACTGATCTAGCTGACGGGGGACATGGGTGGGAGAAAAAACATATTACTCATATAAAATTCTACTATCAATGTATTCATGTGAGGGGGGAAAATTGATATTCATATTTTCTAAATAAAAACTTTAAATATATATATATACAAGTATTGAATCATTATGCTGTATACCTGAAACCAAAATAATATTCTATATCAACTGCACCTCAATAAAAATTTTTTTGAAGAGATGGAAAAAACTTTTAATGAGGTTTCATTGATCAAATGGTACTGTACACTCTATATTTTAGAAGGTAGGCTTACTTCTACAATGACACATGTGCTAAAATACTCATGTACACATCTCTTGCTAAAACGTAAAAGTATTATAACTTATCTTAACTGAAGAGAGAATAAGGCCAAATATGAAAATTCACTGATTGCTTACAACCACAGTTTCTGAGAATGAGCCCTTCCATTAATCAGTTTTGATTTTGAAACACTTTAGGATACTCCAATCTACAAAACTGGCCCAAAGAACTGGGCTATAGAGAAAATTTTCTTTCTTTTTTTTTAAACAAACTCCAGGAAAAGGACAACTGGGTAAAAATATTGAAGAACCATAATCTGGTAAACAGCACATTTCACAAACAGAAGACACATGACTTCTCTACAGAAACAAATTAGAAATGAAGAAGCTTCCAAAGTGATTAAAACCGTTTCTGGACAGTCAGCAGATAAGATAACGCTACAATTTACCTCTGCTGCCTGTTCCTTTGCTGAGATTCATCCAACAACAAATAATTATTGAGTTGTTTCTACATACCAGGCATTACTGGAAGGCTTTGGGCATATTTTTATGACAGTAGTTAAAACAAAGTCCTATACCCCATGGATTATCTATAATTAGGCAAGATAATCTTACCAATATAAACTTATGGCATGAGGGAGTAGAAAATAACATTGTGGACCCAATGCATGTATGGTTCAAAAAGCTTTAAAATGTCTAATGTCTTTCAAAGAAGTCTAAAATTGTTTTTAAAGACTGACCCTAATAAGGCAGAAGTAAATATAAAAGCCATCAGAAAGTCACAAGTTCTATTTCTAAAAGGCCACTAAATTGATAAAAGCCAAGAATCTGACCCAACATCTTAAATTTATTTCTTACTTTAAGCAACTCAAATATATATGTGAAAATCAAGAATAATACAAAATTAGGATGGTGACTATTTTCTAATTTGTAAAACTACTCAAAAAAGACTCTATAGTAAGCTATGTTAGTGTGTTTAAATATAATTTCATTCATTTAAAAAAACAGTGATTACATACAACTTTCAGAAATACTTCCTGGGTAAAAAGTGGTATATTATTTCTGAACCAAAGGTTTACTTCTGCAAATTTCTCCTTAAAATAAGTCTTCAGCAGCATAAAAATAATGATCACTTTCAGCATCACTTAGATACCTACTTCTTAGTAAACACCAAGTATATTAATTATACCCTATGAATATACCCTTTAAGTTTTTTTTTTTAAAGAATTTCTACTCAAAATAGAATCCAAATTCTCTAGTGCTACAAAAACTAACCATATTCTTGCCACAGACTGTTTAATGATGTATACAACAACCAGGTTTTTTTATTTTCAGGCACAGGTGTTTTTTTTTTTAAGGGCACAAGTTTAAAAAACTATGACCTAAAAATCCTTCCATCTTCCCAAAGAATCAGAGCTACTTTCTAGGACAAAGTAGTTCAATTTTAATCATGTAATCTAATATATTAAGAAAAGGTTAGTTTTGTTTTGCTTCTCTTGGTTAAGCATACATATATTTATTTCACTGTTTTATCAGTTGACAGGGCCTCAAAACAATCCCCTGGTGGCTCAATGGTAAAGAATCTGCCTGCCAATGCAGGACACGTAGGTTTGATCCCTGGGTCACGAAGATCCTCTGGAGAAGGAAATGGCAACCCACTCCAGTATTTTTGCCTGGTAAATCCCATGGACAGAGAAGCTTGGCGGGCTATAGTCCATGGGGTCACAAAAGAGTCAGACACAACTCAGTGGCTAAACAACAATGTAGATAGTATAGTAGCAAGTCCTATGGTATTGTAATAATCCAACAACCCAGTGTTTTCTTAGAGTTGTATTCACTTTATTAAGTTATTAGATAACTACACTGAGAATTCCTTAATATTCCAGGATCACTCTTAAACCCCAAAATGTTTTCCAGCTCCATTTAAACTGCTCTTCCTTAACCATACACCTCAAACCCTTCTCAACTCACTTTTATTTTCTTTCTATATTTTTCTAGGTAGTCCCTAAAAAAGGTGGCTACGAAATCTCAGTTCTCTAGTAAGAGGTAACTTCTAAACACTTGTGTCACTCTGGACAACTAGCCCGTGAGTCTCTGCAGCCTCTCCAGCAAAATGGAGACATTATCTCCACTTTCAGGACTGGCATGTAGATCAAAACAGACAACAAATAGAAGATGCTTTGTAAACCCTAACATTTCACTATGATGCTGCTAAACTCTAACACTGTTGTCTTAAGGCCTCAGAAAATTAAAAAATCAATTTGTTCTTTCATTTCCAAAACTGGCAGTTTAAAATACCTTAAAATTAAAAATACTCTAAGAAACTGTGGTAGATTCTAATGTTCTACCAACAACTTGGTGATAATGAAACAGTCCTATTTACTGAAGGAGAAAATTATCATCTACCCCAAATCCTTCCCATATTATCATTCCATTAACAAGAGAGACCACTGAGTTTGAAAAGATTACACAAATACTAAATCTAAGCCAAAATAATGACAGAGAAGGCAATGGCAACCCACTCCAGTACTCCTGCCTGGGAAAATCCCATGGACAGAGGAGCCTGGTGGGCTGCAGTCCATGGGGTCGCTAAGAGTCGGACACGACTGAGTGACTTCACTTTCACTTTTCACTTTCATGCATTGGAGAAGGAAATGGCAACCCACTCCAGTGTTCTTGCCTGGAGAATCCCAGGGGCGGGGGAGCCTGGTGGGCTGCCGTCTACGGGGTTGCACAGAGTCGGACACGACTGAGGCAACTTGGCAGCAGCAGCAAAAGAACCAAGTACACTTTAGCAAGACTTTCTCCAAATTAAAACAGATCACCTAAGAAATTTCTCAGGTACATTTATCAGGTACAAACAATTTTCTTAGGTACAAATCACCTAAGAAAATTAATTAAGCCTAAACAAAACAGAAAAACTTGAACACTGTCAAAATGCTTACTACTTTACTATTTCTGTCACCCGAGAAATACACTGACACCTATGAATGTGTACTGAATAGTAAGTTATTAATCCACTGTATGCCAAATTTGTAATAGATGAAGTCCACATTGAATGTAGAAGTAAATTCAGAAAGTTAAACAGATTGAAATTACTGAAAAATCTCCTTTATTTCCTCTGGAGTCTCTTCTAAACAGTCCAGAGATCCTAGGTTATCCATAGAAATTTTCTTTTCCAGTTCTAAAGTCTATGAATCCACACAACTTCAAAGGCATTTTTGTCTCCTCTTAGTTTTGATTTTTCAAATATTGGCTAACCAGTGAAATTTTATATTTTTCAACTGTTTCCACCTGATTGGACTACTCTAATTACAATGAAATCATGATGATTATATACTAATTTTGTATATTGGTATATTTTATATATTGCTAATTTTAAGTTTCTAGGACATGCCACTCTCGTAAGAAATATGAGAAACCAGTTTCCACACAAACCAGTTTCATTTTAATCATGCAAACTAATCTAGGGCAAGAAGTCCATAAATAATA